TCGGTCAGTGTGCCGAACTGTGTCGCCTGTTCGGTCAGTGTGTCGCGCTTGTGTCGCCTGTTCGGCATTGTGCCGCGCTGTGTCATCTGTTCGGCAGTGTGCCACGATGTGTCGCCCGCTCTTCAATATGCTGCGCTGTGTCGCTCGCTCGTCAGTATGCTGCGCTGTGTCGCCCGCTCGTCAGTGTGCCGCGCTGTGTTGCCTGTTCCGTCAGTGTGCCGAGCTGTGTCGCGTGTTCGGTCAGTGTGTCGCGCTACGTCGCCTGTTCGGCCGGTGTGCCGCGCTGTGTCACCTGTGTCGCAGCGATTACACTTCTGGGACTACGTCACTCGTCTCCTGTGAGATTGGTGGTGCATGAATATTGATCCGTTATGTTCACTGATTTCGGTCCCTCTGTGGCATTGACTGCTGTTTCTTGTCATCGCCGCCTCTTCCACGCATCATCACAGATAACGTTGTGCTAACCCTTCCTGCCAGCTGCGAATATGGCAGTTGGGCTCTTTCTCTGGCCAGGTGGCCTCTGACAGTATGGCTCCACCAGACCGCTTACCAGACAGCCTTCGAGAGCATGTCCTCGCCCGGCAGACAGCGTCGGACAGCGTTTCGCCGCGGGGAAAACTCTCTGACATGGTGCCTCCGCCCGGCAGGCACCCGATCCCGGCGTTCTACACGGTGTTCCGCCAGGACGGCGCCCGTCACCGGGAGGTAGTAAAGCCGCACCCGGCGCTGGCGCGCCTGTACCGGGCCACGCGCCGCCACCAGATCACGTTCGACACGAACCTGGTGCCGATGGTGTCGCCGCCGCTGCCCTGGGTGTCGGCGCGCTCCGGCGGCTACCTCATGTCCTCGTCGCCGCTGATGCGCATCAGGTGAGGCGGTGAGCCCGCCGCACGGGGAGCTGCTCTGCTGCGGAGAGCGGTGCTGGGCTCGTTTGGTGTGCGTTCGGGCCGCTCCTGTCCCGCCAGCAGCCGTCACCATCGTGTTGGCGGACGTGGTGGCAACACAATGCATACCATTTTTGGAGGCAGCAAACATTTTTGAGAACAATACGCTGATTTAGCTAGACAAAGCCACAGAGACTCTGGGCTAGATTTAACCATTGTTTGTGTCGTGGCCCAGACGGCACTGTGGCGTTGACGCGGGGCTGGACGGCACTGCGGCCAGTTCGCGCTGCCGACCGTACCGCACTGACAGCCGTCTGCTGCGGCCGCCAGGGCGTCTGGCCAGGCGAGCTCGCAGCTGAAGCGGCTGGAGGAGACGCCCACCCAGCAGCTGTATCCGGTGCTGGACTCGCTGAACCAGCTGGGAGCCGTCCCCTGGATCATCAACCAGCAGGCGAGGCTGCTGACCTGGAGAGGCTATCCAGCTGTGTCTCAGAGCTGGCTTTGGAGGGGCTACCCCATTGTGTCTCAGAGCTGGACTTGGGAGGCCACCCCGCTGCGTCTCAGGGCTAGACTTGGGGGGCCACCCCGCTGCGTCTCGGAGTTAGACTTGGAGAGGCCACCCCGCTGTGTCTCAGAGCTGGTCCGTGCGCCGCCGGTGTCCTCTGACCTAGAGCGGACCCAGAATGCCGCGTTGGGGGTCGTCCCCGGGTTGGGAGGGGACAAAAATTGAAAAATCGTCCTTAGTGCCAAAGGTGGCAAAAAACTCAGATTTGGCTCTTGGCGCCCTTTGACCTCCAGGAGCGTTCGAAACGAACTTCCCGTCGCAAAATTTGTTAAGATGTTCGGCAAGGTGAGCCCAGAAATGTGTCATTTTCACCCAAGTTAGGTCATCTTGCAGAGGGGGGGGGGGGGGCATGGCCCAGTTGGCCCCGTTGTATCCGCTCATGCCTCTATCTGTGCGCTCGTCGCCCGGCGTACGCTGCGGAGCGGGCGCTTAGTGTTTGACGGGCGCTGACTGCCGCCAGGTGCTGGACGTCGTGCTGCACTTATTCAACAACAACGGCTGTGCCGAGCTGGACATCCCGGCGCCGGTGACGCAGCTGCCGCCGCTGCCTACGCTGGACAGCACCATGACGCCCGCCGAGAAGCACCAGGGTAGGAGTGTGCGCGGCCCGGGGCCGGCGCCGGGCCGTCGAGCCCCGGCCGACGCTGGCGGGCCGTCACGCGGCTGGCGGCAACCCTGCGCGCCTCCGGACGCTGCTGGCCACTCGGGCCGCGCGGCCAGCACGGTCGGGTGTACGCGCTTCTCGTCTGAACACTTCTGGCGTGGGGGATCAGTGGTCTAGGCATTGCCCTTATTACACACAACTTGCGGTTGTATGACACCAACGCAGTCGGCGCGCTCCGAAACCCAAATTATCGCCGTCATCGTCATCATCATCATCATCAGGATTGTTTCCATCACGGACATTCTCTGTCACTGAATGCCACGCTGGCGCCTTGCACCACGTGGCGCGCCCAGCTGATGTACCGGCCGAGCTGCGGATTAGCCCGTACCTCACTGTGGGGCTTCCTGTCGATGGCCCGACAACGGGCTGGTCATTTCATTTCACGTCTCGCCAAATCTGATTTTTCCAATTTATGCGGCCGCCAGCTCCGAGGAACACCAAGAACACCAAGAAGAAAACTGACACGAAACGAACGGCATGCACCGTCGTGGATCTTCCTGGAAATCCAATGAACTGGTTTTTCAGGGCTGATGAATGCCACTATACGTGCCGTCAGTCACGCACCGAAATGTTGGATCCTCATTTGGTCAATTGATTTAGCTTTCGGACGTGACCCCGGAGTTGGCGTCATGGAGTTGACGTCAGCAAAGTCAGAAATCATCGGATCACCGGACATGTTCCCATTTCCCACCTCTCGCATGGTTTCACGACGCCTTCCTGCCATGCGTTGTGGTACCGCTGGAATGCGGTTACGAAGAGGGCTAGCCGCTCTTAGGGCGTGTGCTAAAGCGAAAACAGTGCTGAATTGTAGCCCCGCAAAATGGCAATGGCTAGCGAAAAGGAAGTTTTACAAACCAACAGGATCTAATCCTATAATCTTCCACGTCTGTTAATAAATGGGTACTTGTCCGTGCCCTAACGCGCTTGAAGCTTTCGTGACCACGTCAAGTCATCTAGTTTGTCCTGAAAGTGGCCAACAGGTGTGTGCCTGCGTGGCTGGAAGAAGCGTCTGTTCCGTATGACGTACGCCGAGCTTTTGACCTGTGACCTCCATTTGACCTGCTGCGCCCCGACAGTGAAGCAGCAGCGGGCTCAGATGAGTCGCCGAAAAGCGGAGCAGTTCAGCCTCTGGTGCGACGCGCTCTACAAACTCAGTCTGGCCAATCACGTGAGTCGATGCACCTTGCTCGTGATCACGCCCGCCGCGACAGCGTCCACCCCGGGTCAGGGTTACGCGTAGCTACTCGTGTGTGTTTGTCGGGACGCTGCCGAAGTTGTCCCGCTTAGGCTCCGCTCACTTTGGGCCTTACGAAACAGCTGCCGGTGCGTGCGTGGGTGTGTTGCGGCACTGGGCGCATTCGTCTCGAACGCAGTATAAACATATACCATGACAGCCTTATGTTACAACGCGATCAAAGCCTGCTGAAGTGGTGCGTGGAACAATACCCGTGTGCTTGTGTTGCGTGCATGACTACTGCACTAAACGGACTGTCCGTCGCTCAAACGTGCTCCGACGGTGTGCTGTCCTGCCACGTGACTGCCAGCCGGTCAGCGTTTGCTGACCTGCCCGCGCCTGCGGCAGTTTCGCGAGCGCGTGCTGTGGCTGCCACACACGGTGGACTTCCGCGGGCGCGCCTACCCCTGCCCGCCCCACCTCAGCCACCTGGGCTCCGACCTGTCGCGCTCGCTGCTCAAGTTCGCCCGGGGCAAGCCGCTCGGTCAGAAGGGGCTCGACTGGCTCAAGGTCAGCACGTGATGGGGCTGGGGTCTGGGTGTCTGCTGCTGGTCGGAAGGGGCTCGACTGGCTCAAGGTCAGCACGTGGCGGGGCTGGGGGCTGGGTGTCTGCTGCTGGTCGGAAGGGGCTCGACTGGCTCAAGGTCAGTACGTGGTGGGGCTGGGTGTCTGCTGCTGCTGGTCAGAGGGGACTCGAGTGGCTCAAGGTCAGCACGTGGTGGGGCTGGGGGCTGGGTGTCTGCTGCTGCTGGTCAGAGGGGACTCGACTGGCTCAAGGTCAGCACGCGGTGGGGGGTGGGTGTATGCTGCTGCTGGTCGGAAGGGACTCGACTGGTTCAAGATCAGCAGGTGGTGGGGGTGGGTGTCTGCTGCTGATCAGAAGGGACTCGACTGGCTCAAGGTCAGCACGTGGTGGGGGTGGGTGTGTGCTGCTGCTGGTCGGAAGGGACTCGACCGGCTCAAGGTCAGCAGGTGGCGGGGTGGGTGGCTGCTGCTGCTGGTCAGACGTACGGTGTGACTGTTGTAATGAAGTCCTGTGGAACATGCCGTCCTGGAAGCATACATGTGTCGTAAGTCACCGAAAATCCTAGAATCCTTAAAACATTGCATTCTATGGTCTTCTGAAGTTATTCTTAGGATGCGGTCATATGTCTGCCCGGCAGCACGCCATTCTTAATCAAGAATTCCTCAAGCATGATAAAACAGAGCTGATGGCATAAGCTGTTGCAATGAAGCTAAAAATTATTGGAAGTTGTTAGGTGGTGTTCTCAATGACGGGAAATAGTGCGTAGGTGGGTAGAAATGGATCTGAGGACGAAACAATATCGCGGTCCCGAAGCAACATCGCGATGTTAATAAACACCTCCGCCAACAGTGCCTCGGGTATCAAGTGATTTTGTTGTCAGTCGATTTGCTCTGGATTCTGTTAACTTGCACCGCTCCATTTGCATTCGGCAATAATCCGACATGCATATGACAACACCAAATGTTTCCAAACTACGTGATTGTTTGACTGAAAGGTACTTCGAATGCGGTTCTTGTCCAAAACATACGTCAAGCCCGATCCCCAGTTCTGCATCGTCAGAGAAGCCACATCCACCTCGTCGCCGGGGCTCACAGCGCCAGTAAACCTCGCGGTCCGGACTCGTAGCCGCCGTGTCTCTTGGTGGGCACCGTGTCGACGTTCGCGTGCGTCTCAGGTGCACCTGATAAACCTGACGGGCGTGAAGAAGCGGGAGCCGACGTCGGAGCGGCTGCGCTACTGCGACGAGGTTCTGGACGACGTTCTGGACTCGGCCGACCGGCCGCTGACGGTGAGGGGCGCTCTGGAGGGCGCCGGCCGCTGACGGTGAGGGGCGCTCCGCAGGGCGCCGGTCGCCGGCCGCTGACGGTGAGGGGCGCTCTGCAGGGTGCCGGTCGCCGACCGCTGACGGTGAGGGGCGCTCTGGAGGGCGCCGGTCGCCGGCCGCTGACGGTGAGGGGCGCTCTGCAGGGCGCCGGCCGCTGACGGTGAGGGGCGCTCTGCAGGGTGCCGGTCGCCGGCCGCTGACGGTGAGGGGCGCTCTGGAGGGCGCCGGTCGCCGGCCGGTGGCACGGAAACGTGCTGCCAGCTCGGACATCGGGTGTTGTGCGAACTGCACATCACTGCGGTGTGGTGCCCTCCGTGCGAAGGGCTTGCGGCTGGTGACCCGAGTCAGTCCGTCCGACCGCCCCACCTGCCCTGCCAAGGGTCGGCAGCGTGAGAGCCCACGTCTCCGACTTTGTCGACGAGACCTTGCAATAACAACTTGCCGACGAGACCTTTGTCTTGTCCGTGTGTTGGTACTCGGCCCGTGTGTTCTCTGCCCTGTCCGTGTGTTGGTCCTCGACCCGTGACGTCTGTCCTCTGCTCTGTCCGTGTGTTGGTCTTCAGCCCTCTGCCCGTCTGCTGGTCCTCGGCCCGTGACGTCTGTCCTCTGCTTTGCCCGTGTTGGTCCTCGGTCCGTGACGTCTGTCCTCTATCCTGTCCGTGTGTTGGTCCTCGGCCCGTGACGTCCGTCCTCTGCCCTGTCCGTGTGTTGGTCCTCGTTCCGTGATGCGTCTGTCCCCTGCCCTGTCCGTGTGTTGGCCCTCGGTCCGTGATGCGTCTGTCCTCTGCCCTGTCCATGTCTTGGTCCTCGGTCTGGGACGTCTGTCCTCTACCCTGTCCGTGTGTTGGTCCCCGGCCCGTGACGTCTGTCCTCTGCCCTGTCCGTGTGTTGGCCCTCGGTCCGTGACGTCCGTCCTCTGCCCTTTCCGTGTGTTGGTCCTCGGCCCGCGACGTCTACCCTCTGCCCTGCCCGTGTGTTGTTCCTCGGTCCGTGACGTCCGTCCTCTGCCCTGTCCGTGTGTTGGTCCTCGGTCCGTGACGTCTGTCCTCTGCCCTGTCCGTGTGTTGGTCCTCGGTCCGTGACGTCTGTCCTCTGCCCTGTCCGTGTGTTGGTCCTCGGTCCGTGACGTCCGTCCTCTGCCCTGCCCGTGTGTTGGTCCTCGGTCCGTGACGTCTGTCCTCTGCCCTGTCCGTGTGTTGGTCCCCGGCCCGTGACGCCTGCCCTCTGCCCTGTCCGTGTGTTGGTATTCGGTCCGTGACGTCTGTCCTCTGCCCTGTCCGTGTGTTGGTCTTCGGTCCGTGACGTCTGTCCTCTGCCCTGTCCGTGTGTTGGTCTTCGGTCCGTGACGTCCGTCCTCTGCCCTGTCTGTGTGTTGGTCCTCGGTCCGTGACGTCTGTCCTCTGCCCTGTCTGTGTGTTGGTCCTCGGTCCGTGACGTCTGTCCTCTGCCCTGTCTGTGTGTTGGTCCTCGGCCAGTGACGTCTGTCCTCTGCTCTGTCCGTGTGTTGGTCCTCGGTCCGTGACGTCTGTCCTCTGCCCTGTCCGTGTGTTAGTCCTCGGCCCGCGACGTCCGTCCTCTGCCCTGTCTGTGTGTTGGTCCTCGGTCCGTGACGTCTGTCCTCTGCCCTGTCCGTGTGTTAGTCCTCGGCCCGTGACGTCTGTCCTCTGCCCTGCCTGTGTGTCGGTCCTCGGTCCGTGACGCATCTGTCCCCGGCACGCCAGGGCCGAGGCTGGTGGCGGCGCTCGGAGGAGCCGTGGCAGACGCTGGCCTCCTGTCAGGAGCTGGCCGCCGCGCTGCGCTCGGCCGAGCCGACCGCCTTCGTCAGCCACCTGCCCGTCCACCAGGACGGCTCCTGTAACGGGCTGCAGCACTACGCGGCGCTGGGCCGCGACACGGCCGGCGCTGCCAGCGTCAACCTGGCGCCGGCCGACCGGCCGCAGGACGTCTACAGCGGCGTGGCCGTGCTGGTGAGGCGCCCACACGTCACGCAGGCAGACTGTACCGACCGCACAGCCGAACCCTAGGATAGCACGGCGTAGTGGAGATCCCACACAGTACAGGGGTGGGGCAGTGTTCACTGCGACAACACAGTGGTCCTGCCTCGCGCAGGATCCCATGACGACCAGCTAGGTGTGCTGGTCGCCCGGAGGACCGTGAGTGAGCAATGTTTCGCCGCGAGATGCCAGGCGTAAACCATGCCAAAGGCTCGCTTCCATGGAAAGCAACAATTCGGCGAGAGCGACTGAAATAATTCATTTTCGCTGTGGCGTGTGTTGTCACCTATAACCAGCAGAATTCTACGGTAGGGTGACATGGAGTGTGCTTTACATCCAGCCATCCTTGCTGGGCCAAGCATTACTGAATCAGGCGACAGCTCCCTACAGAGGCGGACGAGATTGTGAGTTCGGGCTTCTTTTGCTGGTAGCTATTGACCCGCAGTATATCAACCAGCAGGTACCGGTTAAATGACGTTATCAAGAGAACATTGGTTAGGTGGTCAATATTTTAGTTTCACACTGTGCCTCCAATCACGAGCGAAAGGTAAAGCCGTGTTAAACTCACATCCTGTCCCTTTTGATCATGCTCACCTCGTGAAATTAAATATTGACAATATAACCAATGTTTGCTTGATTACGTTTGACCAGTGCTTCCCGGAATTGATAAATGTCAGCATAAGAACTCTGAACCCATAATGCAAAAAAAAAAAACAGGGCTCAAAGCCTTTCTTGCTGATATGAAGTGGGACGGTGTCGGTGTGTCCCCCAGCGACGCCGGCCGGTCTGTGTCGCGGCCGCCTCCGCCTCCGGCGGGGGCGTTGTCGGTGTGTCCCCAGCGGCGCCGGCCGGCCCGCGCCGCGGCCGCCTCCGCCTCAGGCCGGGGCAGTGCCGGCGGTGACGGCGCGCGGGGTCGCCAGGTGGAGCAGCAGCGCCAGAAGGACGCCAGCGAGGGCCTGCCGATCGCGGCCGCGCTCGACGGCTTCGTGCGCCGCAAGGTCGTCAAGCAGACGGTCATGACCACCGTGTACGGCGTCACACGCTACGGCGCTCGCCTGCAGATCGCCAAACAGCTCAACAGTGAGTCGCCGTCGCCGGCGCCGGCGGGGCGGCTCAGGCAGAGCTGTACTGCGCTGCTGCACCGCTGCTGGCAGTCATGACCAAGATGGACAATAAATGGCCCTGCAGTCATAGCGCCCGAAAGCCCAATAACTAACTAGCGACGGGCTGGGCTGGGCTGGGCTGGGCTGGACCGAAGATTGGAGCCAGATAAAATAGGCTGTAAACCCGTATGGAGCAGGAGTACACTACTGCAAATGTACAGGAACAGACTGGGCACACTTTCCTGAGCGTGCATGTGAGTCTCATAATCAGATCTCCGACAAGACGCTTGGCCACGTACTTCAAATGGGGATGTATCACGTGCCCAAGGAGTAATTGCTGTACGTCTGCCTTCGCTAACCTGGCCCAAGCTTCGTTCCATTCAATCATACTATGCTCTGTTGGAGCGGTTTGAGTGGGATTGAAACATGTGTGCCTGTATTCGGTGTTACTCTGGCGTTGGTGGCGCTGCCATGGGCGTGATGGTTTGTCTGCGCGTCAGCTATCTAAGTGCATGGGTGGACTCGGCGTTGTCCGGCCGCCTCTGACTAACGCCCCCCCCCCCCCCCCCGGCCGTCTCTGACTGCCGCTCCTCCGGTCTCCTCTGACTGCCGCTCCTCCGGTCTCCTCTGACTGCCGCTCCTCCGGCCGCCTCTGACTGACGCTCCCCCGGCCGCCTCTGACTGCCGCTCCTCCGGCCGCCTCTGACTGACGCTCCCCCGGCCGCCTCTGACTGCCGCTCCCCCGGCCGCCTCTGACTGCCGCTCCTCCGGCCGCCTCTGACTGACGCTCCCCCGGCCGCCTCTGACTGCCGCTCCTCCGGTCTCCTCTGACTGCCGCTCCTCCGGTCTCCTCTGACTGCCGCTCCTCCGGCCGCCTCTGACTGACGCTCCCCCGGCCGCCTCTGACTGACGCTCCCCCGGCCGCCTCTGACTGCCGCTCCTCCGGCCGCCTCTGACTGCCGCTCCCCCGGCCGCCTCTGACTGACCCTCCTCCGGCCGCCTGTGACTGACGCTCCCCCGGCCGCCTCTGACTGACGCTCCCCCGGCCGCCTGTGACTGACGCTCCCCCGGTCACCTCTGACTGACGTTCCCCCGGCCGCCTGTGACTGACGCTCCTCCGGCCGCCTCTGACTGACGCTCCCCCCGGCCGCAGATATCCCGGACTTCCCGAAAGAGCACGTGTGGCAGGGCTCCCTCTACCTGGTGACGCGCACGTTCCTGAGCCTGCAGCAGATGTTCACTGCCGCCAAGGAGATCCAGGTAAGAGTGCCAACGAGTTCAAGGAGAGTACAGGGATCCCCGAGTGGAGTGGAAGCGGTCGGGAGAGGTCGGGTAGGGCCCTGTTCAGGGAGCTAACTCACACGGGCTTGGTCACTCGGAACGTTCCATTGGTTCGAAGTATGAGTACTGCGACCTATGACACGAAGGCAGCCTCAGCGTAAATTTGAATCGACAACCACTGCTAGCCCGCCCGCCCGCCACTGACCGTGGGCCCCGCGACCCGTTGACGTCACTAATTGGCTGTGACATGACGCGGGGGTGGCGCTAACGGCGTCACCCATTCGCCCTGGGCGGGGGCGTTTGGTGCTCAAAATTCTATACGTGATCGCTTGATGCTTCATGGAAGAAGCATCATGCGTTGTGCGTTGTGATGTGTATGACTTTGTGGATGTTCCGTATGCTTTGCTTCAGCCTCGAGCTCCCTCGCAGCTTTGCTACAAAGCGAGGTGCCGTTCGGCGGATGTTGTCGGATTGGACGAGCCCCCAGACTGTGTGTGGGATGGGACGAGCCCCCCCCCCCCCCCCAGACTGTGTGTCGGATTTGACGAGCCCCCCAGGCTGTGTGTGGGATGGGACGAGCCCCCCCCCCCCCAGACTGTGTGTCGGATTTGACGAGCCCCCCAGGCCGTGGCACCGATGAGCGGACGTCCAGGACCTGTTGAGCGGCGCACCCGAGTCGCCTCGGGTGGGTCGGCTGTGACCGCGTGCCGCCGGCTATGTGACGCACACGACACGCGCCTGAGCGGCTCCCGTCGCGGCAGGACTGGTTCACCGAGTGCGCGCGCGTCGTGTCGTCGGTGCGCGGCGAGTCGGTGGAGTGGGTGACGCCGCTCGGCCTGCCCGTCGTCCAGCCCTACTTCCGGCAAAACAACAAGCCGGCCAGCCGGCCGCTCGGCGACACGGGTCGCATGAGCTCGCCCCACTTCTACCACGAGGCCTACGAGTGAGTAACCCCCCCCCCCCCCCCCCTGTGTAGTCGGGGCGTACCAGGAAGTGGCTGAATTCAGGTCGCGTCAGACCATTGCCTTGGGCTACTTTTAGCTGCTGAATGCGGGACCAAAGCGTGGGTCTATGCGGCTTACGCCTGTTAAGCGTTCCAGCCTGGTTCTCCCCGGTTGTTGTCTTTCCTGCCTAATCGTGTTACTCCGTAGCATGGGGCTCATACTTTTACGTGATCTTAGAGCACTGACTTTCAAGTCCACGCTTCTTACGTCGACTTATGACACCTATTTGCACCTTGTAGTACCGTAGCTTGCCGCCCACGGCTTCCATGTGGGTGTGGTTCCTTTTTGCCTAATATTGTCAGCCACCTGACAGTGAGACCTCTTGCCGTAACAGGCCACCACAGCCGAATGACCGGGTCGAATTTGAGGCGAAAACGCTCTTGAGATTGGCAAGCTTGCTTTCGAGCAAGTGCAGGTGTCATAAGTCGCGTATAAAAACTTTTGGACGGATTTGACCTAGTATGACCTGTGATGGCCTGGATCCAAAACCCAGGCATAATAAAACCCGACATCACTGACGTCAAAGTCGATATTGATGAAATGATTAAGTCTGTCAATTGCCAACAGGTGAAATGCGTTGTCGACCTAGCGAGAAACCCAACTATAACCTTCATAATGACCTTGAATGAATGAATGAATGACCCAACTGTGACCTTCATAAATGGGTCGTGGGTCGCGACCTATCCGGGCAAATGCTGGGAGCTGTCAGTGCGGTCAAAAACGTGGGCGTTAGCTACTAGAAAAGGATAGATTGAATGGCTGCCAAGTTATTCCAGGAAAAGTTCAGGAGCCTGCCAGGTCCCCTCTGGTCGGGCGACGGTCAGGATGCCTCCGTGGGCGACGTCGGGGATGGCCGGAGGTGGCCGGAGGACATCGCACCAACGCACTCAGCGCGGTCGACAGTCTATCGACCGTCGCAGTGTCGCCGGTGTCGACAGTCAACCATACTGTATCTGTGCCGACAGCCGGCCAAACGCCATGAAGCAGCGGAACGCTTTCCCTCCCAACTTCATCCACTCGCTGGACTCGTCACACATGATGCTGACCTCGCTGCACTGCCAGCATGCTGACATCACCTTCGTGTCCGTCCACGACTGCTACTGGACCCACGCCGCCTCCGTCGACGCCATGAACAAGGTGCCTGCCGAGAATGGCTGCGTTGGCTGAAATCAGCGCTCGGCTGTTGGTCGCAGAAATGGATTTAAACGCGAACTTTCGTAATAATTCTCGTCCCATTAGTTGAACTGATAAATGTGAGCCATATAGCTGCTTGCGGATTTGTAGGCGAGGTACGACGACATTTACTGTTACTAAGTTACACTGCTACTAAGACTGATCTGCAGTAGGCATGTATTGTATTGCTGTTTTCAGTTCCGCGGTAACCGGTCCTTTCCTGTGCATGTTGGGCTTGCAGCAGGACCAAAGATGGAGGTCGAGAAAACTTAGATCAGAAGAGTGAGGGGCCCTTTCAACTTCAGTTTTTAGATAAATGAGACGCTTCCGGAAGTGGGCTGACAACCGCTGTTTTATAACTTACGCTGTGTGGTACTGCTCCATCCTGTTGGAACCCTTCTTCCCGTCTCGTGTCATTCAGTATTCTTCCCAGTGGGGTCCAAAATTTTTTAAGGACGCATAAAATGTCTCGCGTAGTATTGTTGTCTATTGTTAGTCACACTTCAGGAACGTCCGATAATGCCTGACTTTCCCCAGGTAACACGTGCAGTCACTGTTTTAGAATGCAACGGTTTCTCGACGACGTTTGAGGCCGTTTGCTTCCCCAGACAATGATGTTCTTGCTGTTGACGCATCCGCTGAGGCGAAAGTGGACTTGCCTGAAAACCAGACGTGGTTTGAGAACTCTGGGGTCCTCTGATATGTTCCGTAAAGAACAGTTTCACATGTTGACACGCTTCTTGTTATTCTCTTCGAGTGGTTGGGATAATTATGTGTGGTACGGGTGTAACTTTACATCCGTAAAAAACAGTGGCGATAATATTGCGGATATGATTTCGCGGCTTTCTTCTTTACGTGATGAATTTTACACATACTTACGTCACGTGGAGTTTATCGTTCAATAGTTCTGGAATGTCTTACTTTTGGGACACTAGATGGCACGGATGTGTGAGTTTCATCCGCCGGCTGCGCTCCATTCGGTCTATAGACCCGTCCGTTCCTATCAGCAGCGGAAAAGATGACGCCGCGCAAAGTCTCTACTATATCCATCCTGTTCCGTCCCGTGCTGTCCCGTCCCGCTCTGTTCCGTAATGTGCCGTTCCGTTACGTGCCGTGCCGTACCGTGCCGTGCCGTGCCGTACCGTGCCGTGCCGTACCGTGCTGTGCCGTACCATGCCCTGCCGCGCCGTTCCATGCCATGCCATGCCGTGCCGTAGCGACCTTTCCTGTCCCATGTCGTCCCGTCCCGTCCTGACCTCATCTAACCTAACTTGACCTAACCTAAGGAACTTCTGCACCATGGCCCAGAAACTGTCCCTCTGTCCGTCCTTCTTTGTTCTCTTCCTTACTTTCTTTCCTCCTTTCTTAATTCCTTTCTTGCTGGCACTCTTGAACAATAACGTCAAAGATAAAAGAACCAACCTAAAACACGCCCTCCTTTTGCCGTGCCTGCCTGAGTGATTGGCGTCTGCCACTGTTTGGCGTGGCTGGCAGATGTAACCGTAACCCTGTGACTCGTCCGGACAGCTGGCGTGACCTCGTGACTCGTCGGGCCAGCTGGCGTGACCTGTGACTCGCCCTTCCTGCTATGTGACCCTGTAACTCTTCCGGCCAGCTGGTGTGACCCTGTGACTCGATCCGCTAGCTGGCGTGACCTGTGATTCATCCGGTTAGCTGGTGTGACCTTGCGACTCGTCCGGCCAGCTGGCGTGACCTTGTGATTCGTCCGGCCGGCTGTTGTGGCTCTGTGACTCGTCCAGCCAGCTGGCGTGACCTGTGCCTGTCCGGCCAGCTGGCGTGACCTGTGACTCTTCCGGCCAGCTGGCGTGACCTGTGCCTCGCTCGGGCCCGCAGGTGTGCCGGGAGCAGTTTGTGGCGCTGCACAGCCGGCCGCTTCTGCAGGAGCTGGCCGAGGGCCTGCTGGGCCGGTTCGGCTACCCGTCGGATGGCCGGCTGCCGGAGCCGGCCTCGCACAGCCGCCTCAACAGCGTTCTGGCGGCCGTGCCCGAGCAGGGCGACTTCGACCTGCGCCGAGTGCTCGAGTCGGTCTACTTCTTCAGCTGAGCCGCGTCGGCCGCGTCGCCGGCCGCCGTGTTTCTCGGCTGAGCCTTGGCGCTTGTCGCGCTGCCCGCGACTGGGCTGTGCCTGTTGTCGTGGTTGTGTGGGAGCTGGGAGTCATGGTGGGAGCTGTCCAAGCGTGTTGGGCGTGGTCCGTTGATCCGGCATGTTGCTGCATAATCCACTGTGTTCACTGGTGACGAGACGCCGCGTTGTGTCGTGGAACAACTTAGCTGTGTCGGCAGTTGCGTGAGCATTTACAGATTGGTGGAGCTGAGACGCGGTGTTAGTTCGAAATCGGACGTCTTATTTGAGGCAATCGGGGAACCTGTCATGGTAGGTCCTCACAGGCATGATGGCTGAGCGATCAGCTCCCTCCGCTCAAACCTGCTAGGTCAGACCTGGTAGGTCGGACCTGGCAGGTCTCCGGGGTACTTGATATTGACCGCGTGTCCGGCGGTCCGAAGGGAAGCGACACATCTGTTCGCGCGCCGTCTCTGGATTGCCGGTGGCTGTGAGGGTCATAACACCCAGGGGTCTGGGTACAGCAGAGGTTCCAGCCCGCGTCACATGAAAGTCGAGGGCTCCAACGACTTGGCCGTTATGTCCCCTGGATGCCCAGCTGTGTCTGTGTCTGTTGCGAACGTGTCTGTTGCGGTTGTAAACTGGAACGCATTGGTTGGTTTTACGTTTTGTAATTTGCCATGTGCGAGGCAGAACAAACATGCCAGTCCAGTAACAGCGTAGCGATCATAGATATGATGAGGTGCGGTGTGGTCTGCAGTCAAGGTATGCGTTTCAGCTCGAGCACTTCGAGCTCTTTTTCTGGGCATCATCCCTGCCGAGGCGTGAGGTGCTTTGGGGAGGGCGGGGGGGGGGGGGGGCATACGGATCGCAATGATTGGCCGTTGGAAGTATCGGACACGCCCATGCACACGTGTGTGGTTGTTTCTAGTCATACAGGTACCTCCCGACCGGGGAGTCGCCATAGTGTCTTACACTTCGTAGACATTTCACTGCGAACGAACAGGCATGCATAATGTGGCAATACAAAGCTGTGAGACGTGGCTCGTGGTATGACCAAGCGACGTGCAGCCTGCCTTCAATTCCCGCCGCCAATTTCACCTAACTGGCGTGCCAACAGACAGGAGGCCGAGCATCTAGGTTCTGTAGCTTCCTTGGGCCGTTGGACAACCCAGCGGGAACGCTGTGCGCAACATTCTGCGAACAGCCACAGCGCCACACAGAGAATGGTCTGGGATTCCCACTGGCTTCACTCCGCGCGTCGATTACCCCCTCGAGACGCTGAGTCGTGCGATGCTCATGGTCCAGCGTCTGAATAATGAACACTGCGGCCCATGCTCGGGTTGCCCGTCATAGCCGGCGAAATAAACACGAAGTTGACTGCGCTCGTATTTACGAACGGTTTCCGCTCACTGCTGCGCGAAGAAATGGTGCCGTTGGCGCCAGAAGCCTTGCCACCAATGGCGTCACATTGACTGATCGCACCAATAGGAGAAGGACCGCAGGTAACATTTGTCAGCTGTTGACACTCACAGGTCACTCGGGCGCACTGTTTGTGCTACGTTGTTCCACTCAGGACATAGCACAGGCATCGTTTTGCTGTTGTTCCTGATCGCTTCGCCGCACGGAGAGCGGTTGCTGTTGGCATGGCCATAGCACCGTCTCCAACCACATAGCATTGATGAGCAGCTCAATAATCCATAGTATGTCCTGATAGATTTCGGCTAGGCCGTGGCTTCCCTCTGGGGTTTTGGACTTTAATTCAGCGGGCCGTGGTGGTCGAAGATGCGTGACAAGCCCATACAGCCGAATCTCACACGTCAGTTATGGTTGCGCCGGAAGACACAGGACCCCAACCACGAAAGTAAAGGCCACGAAAGTACACATTCGCATCGACCCGGCGCAGCCGTCTGCTGTGGACTGTGTCCAGTGGCTAGTATTTGACACGGTTTTGGCATGCTAAGCGACCGCGTCAAAGGTGAGCCAAATAGCGTCAATTACTAGCCGTTGTGCACACCGGCCAAACGTCATACATCAAATCTCATTCTGATAAACTGGTGCGGGTTGTAGTGACTGGGATCGGGCGGCAGTGAAGTAACGATTTAAAATAAAACCGTCCAAGAGAGATGCAGCCCGGTAGGTAATCTACGGGACACGTTACCATGGCGACTGCGTGCTCTCGTCTGAGACGCAGATAGTGGGCAGGAACCCGGAACTCACTCAAACCTACGCTCAGTTCTGCCGTTGGCTGATCGATCGACTCCGACATGCTCCACCTCCTGGCCTCTGGCACGCCTCTTCCCCGGATTATCGTGGGTTGTATGTCCTGGATCCAATGGTATCAAGGGGACAAAGTATCCGATGAATCTCTTCCATCGTCATCTGATGAATCTCTTCCACCAGGTCTTTGACGCCAAATGTCGCAAATTTTTCGACTGGGCACGTACGGAACTTTATAGAGCCGTATTCGCAACGACGAAGCAACAAGCGTGCTCCGCACAAGCAACAGACCTGTTGCTGTTGCTACACTGGCAACACAGCTGTTGCTAGTTTAAAACAGCTGTCGGTCACGGTGGAGAGGGCCACGAGCGGTGACACCGCTCGGCGCACGCTCGGACCCGCCAGTCTGCACCACCTGTCGCTGATGACGCCGGTCGGCCGCGCCTCGCTCCGATCGATCCGCCGCACACGGTGCGCAGTTCTCCGTGCCGGGGCCGACGCATATCCCACGTAAACAACAGTGGGAGCTGGGAGGAAACGAAACTGTTGCCGGTGTCATTGCGTTGTTACAGGGTCGCACAGTGCGGCCGTGTGACTGTCCGGCTACACCAACAGGTGACAGTCGCAGAACTGGCAATATTCGCGACCTTTTCAAGGTCAAAGGCGAGGGAAAATCGTTACCTGGCAGCCCTGGGAAAGCGAGCCATTGGAAATGGCAGCTTTCGGAAATCAGCTATTGCAGACAAGGAAGCAGAAAACAGTCCCGGCATCAACCAGAAAATGGCAAGCGCGGTGGCGGAATATATATATATATATATATATATATATATATATATATATTGTTTATATATTTATATCCCTGCGTGAGATCGGCAAAGAAACCCGTTGTTGTTCAGGGGTGTGTTGAGAGGCCCAATTTGCCAGAGAGCTGGTGGTGCTGCAGTTTAGAAGCATCTAATTCTCTAGGCGTAAACCGTCTTCACGACCGCATGGTTCACTGATCATCAGGCGAATCACCAACTCTAGGTCACCGTTCATTTTCAAAGTCTTACTTTGACAAGCATTCTCCCAACCATCATTAAAGAGCATTCACATTGCGCATGCTTAGAAATACAAATTCATTAATTCTGAGCCAGTTATCAGATCTCTGCGAGTAGCAGTCCCAGTGGTCACAAGTACCGCAGGAGTGCAAAGACCGTCTGCAGAGTATACACGCATTTTTTACCCGCACACTAATGACGGTAGTTCCGCCAACCACCGAGGTCAGGTGGACGTAGTGCCAGAACTGGCCGGTCGAAACGCGCATGTACAACACGCCAGGTGAGGGAGGTGGTTTGAACAATCAAGCAGTTCGCGTTACTGGTATCCCGTCTCAATCATCCCGCAGGCCTGCCACTCCCGGTCTGGCATCAAGGGAGTGCAGTGCATTGCGGGAGTGCAGAGGTCGTCTGCAGTGCATACATGTGCACGTTTTCCGCAGCCCACACACGTATAAACAGGGCCTTCCTGCCTGCGTCACTATGCGACCGGGTCCGAGACCGTCCCGGCCGGGCCAGGGTCGCAGCTGTCAGGGGCTCTGGCAGCCGCCAAGGTTGGCGAGGCACGGCCCGATCACGTGCGCCCCACACCGGTCAGCGACCCGGCCGGCCATCACCGGCAGCGCAGAACGGGGGCAGCCGCACCCTGGCAGCCTGTGCCGCTCGTACGTGATGGACTGCCGGTCAGGGGACCCCTCAGCTGATGTGGGCGGCACACGTGTGCTGTCGGCGCTGGGCGGGGACGCGCCTCGGCGCGCCGGGGGAGGGGGAGGGGAGGGGAACATGTGTGGCGAGCACGAGTCCGCTCCCTCGACGACAGCGCCGGTGGGACTTTGGCCGGCCACCAGGCCGCCCCCCCCCCCTCCCCTCTTCCACGTAACGACAGCCCGGAGGGCCAGACCGCTGCAGCCACTGGCCAGTTTGCCAGAACACAACCATAGCACAGCGGCTCTTTATTCGTGCGTCATGAGCACATGGACTTGCAACGACTTGGTGTCAACCAGACGTGAGCCACTCCTTAATGACCCACAAAAAACCGACATGTTTCCAGCCCATACGCTGATCCGGTGCGGTTAAACTTGGTTGCACCGGTGTTTCTTTAAGAAGCGGGTCACTGGACCGGCAACCGGCCTGTGTCCACGGACCAGGCGAAAGATGCTCGTCACCGGCCGCGGGCGTGATGTGCAGCTACGAACACCTGGCATCGGACGTGTCCTCAGCTGACGCCCGACACCTGCTGATGAGATGACACAATGCCCCGGGCGGGTCCGCGCTCGCATGAACTTTCCCACTGCTACTGAATGCCACAGTTCATGACATTTTCCACCGGTGACGGCAGCGGAGCGAGACGGTGCGGCGGCGTCCGCAGCGAAGTTTGCGATCGGTTCACGAGATGACCGATAGTACACAAGCGCTCTCCCAGCACGCTTTGTCCACACCGCCCGCCCGCGGCACGCCGCCAGCCAGTGCGAGCCAGCGGAAAAGCCGGCACGGCCGTCGACCACCACTGACCGCTGCAATGCGTCATTTGGACAGCGCTGCAGCTCACGGTAGGCGTCTTGAAACAGTTTTCGAATATGCCAATTATGACAGAGACGCACGCGATAAAAACACACATGAAAAACTACCTACGTGTCACTCGATGTAATGCTTACACATCTTAATCTACAGCAAACTGGCGAGCGTCCAGTGATGGCCAGGGGACCGCGCTCGCACTCCAGCTTACAACGCCGGATATTAGCGCACGCAACGTGTAACAATCGGGAAAACCACACGAAGCAGCATATTACCGTTGCCCGATCGACACAAGTCGAACACACGCCTATGGTCTTCAGACGAAGTATTAGCAATTAGTCCCAGGGGCCAACTCGCAATCAAACGTCTAAGCTTACACTTCCCTCACGCTCTAAAAGCTGCCCCACAGCTGTGTACATCTGCTAAAGGCCATGGCGCCACCAAGACGGTGTGCGCGCTACCGGGTTGGGTACACCCATTACCCAACAATAACTGAGCTGGCCGTGCAAAAAGCCGCAGCGTCCTCTGAACCAATAGCTCTTGCCAGCAGTTCGCGATCTGGGCTGTAATAATTATGCAAGTTAAGGCTTCCAGATGGCGGGGACGATGCTTTCAAAAACGGCGGATTTCACAGCCGTGCTTTCAAATATGACAGTATTTGACGTCCCGACACGTGGCGTCCCCGGCGGGCCAGTAGAACGAAACGATGTAAGAATGGCGCCGCTTCTTCCGCCCTGATTTCTTAGGCAAAACTGTTACATTCTGAATCAGTTATGGACTCGTTCCATAAAATAATTTGGACAACTTGTTAAATACCCAATCTGCTCATCTTCCGGAACTTCCTGGGTATGAAAGGGTGGTTGACCACAGGATGGAGTAGCGCAGCGTGATGGGTCACAGCGTCAACTTCTGATGCTCTGCGTAGCTCTTGGCCCGTTCTCGTCCCCACCTGACTACCGGCCCGGCAGAAACACCCACGACACTGCCTTCTCGCACGCGACAGACCGTTCACTGTCATCCGAACATGAACAGCGGCCCGTGACAGGTACACGGAGCTCGGATCAGCCCAGCCTCAGACGCGTGGCGGATTCCGGTGATTCGACCCGAACTCGCAGGGAGATGGGCAGAGGTGGACAGCCCGTGAAACGGCAGGCTTCCGATTTCCTGGCCCGTCACACTGCTGAAACAACAGGCAGGCAGCGCGTCAGAGGTCCGGACTCATGCACGACCACCCAGACGACATGTCTAAACAAATTAGCGAAGGAGCCGACATGTCGCTGTGGTGACACGTCGTAACGGGTATTGACACGCTCCATTTCAGGCATGTGGGGGGAGGGGGTAGATTATGTCTCCTACCCCAAGATATCAGCAGCTACTGGGCCAATTTTGATTAAAAAAATAACGGTGTTTGGTTTCTCCGAGCGAGATGCACATTAAAACAATATGTCGAAGTCAATAGGAGGGCGACCGAAAGCAGACATGGGCCATGATCTGGGTATTATATTGATAGGATATGGCTCCGGAATCTTTCTGATCATGGACCTATTTCAATATCTTGCCGAAAGGTCTCCTTGGATCCTGGATGTGCTTTGAAATATTGTCATAGAATCAGATTGCGTCCCGGCCCTTTTGCAATTGTGGTCGAAGAATCTTGTAATATCTTAGATCTTTTTTTAAAATTTCGTCGAGAAGGTTATGGGATCTTCACTGCTTTTGTTTTTTTTGTTGTTTTTTTTGGTGAAGAATCTTGTTTCGGTCCTTCAGGATTTATATGTGCAGTTGTGAAAAGCTCTTTACGTGATTATCACAATTATAGGGAGATTTGGCAGGGCTTTTTAATCTCATGTCAACGTTACCTTACAGAGCTGCAAAAAAATCGTACAAGAGCTATAAAAAGTTAGTACGCCGCGCGTAAAACTGAAAACAAAATAGCACAATTCTGGCGTCGCCCAAGCCAGCAGAGAAGCTGGGTTTATTGCTCGAGCACATCGCAGGGTGTCATGTTTCATCAATATAGTTGTCTGTATTTAAAATATCGAGATCGTGTATTGATCACGTATGTCGTGTCATCCTAGTGTAAGCACAGAACCGGCATGTGTACCTGCTGCAGGGCGGCGCTACCTGTCTGGGGGCGCGGCAGCCGGCTCGTGTACCTGCTGCAGGGTGGCGTTACCTGTCTGGGGGTGCGGCAGCTGGCTCGTTCGTGCCTGCTGCAGGGTGGCGTTACCTGTCTGGGGACGCGGCAGCTGGCTCGTGTGTGCCTGCTGCAGGGTGGCGTTACCTGTCTGGGGGCGCGGCAGCTGGCTCGTGTGTACCTGCTGCAGGGTGGCGTTACCTGTCTGGGGGCGCGGCAGCTGGCTCGTGTGTACCTGCTGCAGGGTGGCGTTACCTGTCTGGGGGCGCGGGCAGCTGGCTCGTGTGTACCTGCTGCAGGGTGGCGTTACCTGTCTGGGGGCGCGGCAGCTGGCTCGTGTGTACCTGCTGCAGGGTGGCGTTACCTGTCTGGGGGCGCGGCAGCTGGCTCGTGTACCTGCTGCAGGGTGGCGTTACCTGTCTGGGGGCGCGGCAGCTGGCTCGTGTGTACCTGCTGCAGGGTGGCGTTACCTGTCTGGGGGCGCGGCAGCTGGCTCGTGTGTACCTGCTGCAGGGTGGCGTTACCTGTCTAGTGGCGCGGCAGCCGACGCGGGTGGGCCTCCTGCAGGTCGCGCGCCAGGTACTTGTCCTCCTGACCGCACTGCCCGCCGGGCATGTTGAGGTGCGTGGGCGGGCCGCCCGGCATCAGCAGCTCCTCGGCGGCGCGACCGGTCAGCTCTACGGCGAACGGCTCCGGCACGTTGGTTTGCATGACCGAGTGCAGGCTGACGGCGCCACGGCAGTCGTACGACTGCAGGTGGGTGTCTGGCGCCGGCGCCAGCGGGTCGACCAGGTGGCCGACGCTCAGGCTGCCGCCGCTCAGCAGCGCCAGCCGGCCCGAGATGTCCCGGGAGCGGCGCCGGCTGAACTGGCAGCGCGCCGACGAGTTCAGCTCGTCGATGTTGGGCGGCACCAGCGGCGGGTGCCGGCTGGATGAGTGCACGTGCAGCTCGGAGGCCGGGCTCAGGTGCAGCTCCGACAGCTGGGAGCGCACCACTGCAACACGCACCACACACAACTAACTATCAAACTATCAGTATATTTTTACATGGAAAAGGCTACTGTACACCAGTCAGTTCCTCTGTTTGACAAATATACTACTATCACACTATCGGTACACATGGAAAAGGCTACTGCACACGAGCCAGTTTCTCTGTTTAATAAATATTCTCCTCAATACGTCATTGTTTGGTTACGCCATCGTGCCTTCCGCAACATTGATTGAGTCAACTGACGGTCGTTTTATCTGAAAATCGCGTTCACAAACGCCAGATAGGAACGGCTTGACAACTACATTTGTATTGGCCTTTATCACCACATGACTAATGGAGTAGCAGGATTTGAATGATGTTATTATGGAGTCATGGATGCCTGGGCGACCTTGAAAGTCTCCCAGAAATGGTCTGCACATCTTCGCAGGCGTGTAGCTCAACAGCTGGACAAGTCTATATAATAAAAAGGGCAGGGCTGTCATTTGCACCGAATGATCTTCAAGATGGCTATTTCGGTTCAAAACACAACACAAATGTGGAATACTTCCTTTAAAGGAGGCGTGTCAGCTTTGAGGTTTCTTTCAAAAACATTCAAACAAAAACAAAAGGTTTCTTTCAAAAACAAAAATCTGGTGAAACCTCAGGACCAGTTATGCCTCATAACAGCACTGGGCGGCGCACTTCAGCGCGAACCAAATATAATACACAGACGAACGTTGCTTATTTTCAAGTCCAAACTACGCACTCGGCGCTTTGTCACAGCAGTAGACTTCTTTCTTTGTAGCTACAGTGCTAGACCTCTTTCTTTCTAGTCCCAGAGCGCATTCCCAGTCCGGTACAGACGGCAGAATCTCCTGCAGGCCGCCATCAGGGCCGAGCACTTGACAGATTACTCGAATGTACGTAATGGGCTTACTGCAGGTACTGTATGTATGTAACTGTGTGTATATGGTGTAACTGTATATATCTCACTATGTATGCGATGAGCTTACTGTATGCATGTGTAATGGGCTTACTCGAAGTACGGAATGGGCTTTCCTTTGCCGATGAAAAGGGGAACAGCTGTTATGGATTAAAGGTACCACTTTTGAGCTCTTTAACTCACGCCCTGCGGGCATGTGGGCTTAAAATTTACAGCTCTACTGGTGTGAATGGCGTCCGTAAAAATGAATATCTGTGATTGGCGCAGCGGACGGCGTTTTTTTTTTTTTTTACCAAGAGGCGCACTGGTGATAGTTGTGCCCGTACGTTACTTTAAAACATGTGATGGGTCTGTTTTCCCAAATCCATACTGAGCGTCGAAAAGAAACACCGTACTTCACACTGCAGGAGCGGAATCAGAGCCACCGCACGACATTTCGTTCAATTCGCGTGACAATGGCCTCATATTTGTTCATATTTTCCATACGTTAAGTGTCCCATGCTTTCGTAGCGTTTATTGCAGAAACATTTTGAATAATTGGTGGATTACAAACATTATATTACACATACGCTGGAAAAACGTATCAAATGAGAAGTATTACATAGTGGTAAGCCAGGAGTCCAACGGCATATCTCTCATTGTATTGGTTCATTCAAATCGAAATTCGGAGCTATTCAGAAGCATGTCTAGACAACTTACATCATCAATCAAATCTAATGCGCCGGACCTAACAGTGAGCAAAAAGTGCAAAAAGGAGGCGTAATCGCTTTACACCAATTATAACAGCTTAATTCGGAGATGTACGCGCTACGTTAAAAAACGGTTGTCATATGGCGAACAGCATCAAAGAAACAGCTGAACGTCTCGATTTAACTCATCATAAATTTGCGATTTAGTTGGCCTCTTACGGGTGCATACCGCGCCCTTGACAATTTGTAGCTTACTCCGACAACTGAAATCTCTTATGATTGCTTCACTGGCATACATAAAAGCATGATGCCTTATTTGTGGACAAGGTTTTGCTGAAAAATTTAACTTCGGTTTCTTGTTTGTTCCTCTGGTTGACCAAGCCCGGTTCACTTACAACCCAAACCAATCTAATTTAGGCTTAAATTTTGGGAAATAAATACATCAGAATTGGATAGATGCGTAAAAATAGTATAAAAACAAGCCTAATCCACGTAACGATTTTTTCCCTACATGACAACTATAACACAAAATACATTTTGGAAACTGAAGAGCATTCCATTCTACCTGGCTGAAAATCTTTTCCTTTTGCCACTGGCTGCCAGACTTGTGCTCGGCACCAGGCCGATGTTGCGTTGATCCGCTTTGCACTCAACCGTTTACGACCTGACAAATAAGAGCTGCCTGAGGTCATGGGAGACCACTCGAGGTGCATATCTCACGTGCACGCGGGCTATGCTTTTGTCTCTACTTTTTCTGGAGAACTATCATCCCCAACGGCCTGAGCTTCCTACCTCTCCAACCGGTCCATCAATGCAATGGAAAAATACATAACGGGGGCGGCACATAATCATTATGCCATCCACCGCAAGCCTGTTGAACGCAAGGTCTTCTGTTTTTCCATCGGCCTGTTTTTACCAGGATGTCGTGCGAGGAAACAAGGGCAAATAAAAAGTAAGGAGAGGTGGACAACGGGCGCGTGTCTGAACGGCTCGTCTGCGCCAGTTGCAGCTCTGCCAAAGCTGGCCGGCATTTCCGTAGCGATCCCGACAACAAAGAACCTACGCCGTCGGTGCATACCTCATAGATTCTGCGTCTTGGGGTGTTCGCAGTGACGCGGACGACAAAGATGCTACGTGACGTGGCGCGCAAAAATGTCGAGACAAAGACGACACAATTGGTCCGCTTGTGAACAAGTCAACTTGCGCGCTCAAGGCCGACCAAGGGTGAAGAGAAGGCCTCATTTATTAAGAAAAGGAAAACGTACTATACGTTACAAGCACTATAATTTCCAGTCCTCATCGTTAGGAACACGCGTAGTACGTGTTGCGTGCGACCGTAAATGCTAGTGCCCGCACACGTGGTCATTTTTACGTAAGTTACCAATATGAAAACAGAAAATGTGTCGCGCTGCGCAGACGCCCGGCAAAGCTTCTACGAGACGTCATGTGGAATGGAACATTCTCGATGCGTTACAAATACACTCGAAATTGCAGGCTACCAAGCTACTCAGCTTCTAAAACTACTAAGGGAGGATACAAATAAGCTTTTCAGGAATACAAATCAGCTAGTAAGGGAGGATACAAAGGTATAATGTGCGGTACCGTTGAAAAATTTTACGTGAATACACTTTCCAAATAAAACAACCCCTCAAAAATAATTTCCACACTTAATTGCCTCATCACGTATCGTTGATAACACAATTGCATTCTTCATTACCTAGAAAGTTTATCCTCCGGGTCCGTTGAAGGTCTTTGTAATATGCTCCAAAGGCGTTATATTCCCTTGAACCAAATAATATGCCGTAACTGTTATCGAACTGTTTGTTGTAATCGTTGACGTCAGTTACGAAAATGGTACGGTTGGTGTGGTAGCTGTCACACTGACTTCTCTTAAAGGCCTCATTCTAATTTCCTTCATTGAAAATTGCTCGCTCCACGAGCCTTGTTAGCCCAGCTTTTCACAACATTCCCCACCTGTGCTTGCCATTTTTTATTTATTTTTTAAATTTATTTATTTATTATATAAAATTATTTATTATTTTAATTAAATTATATATATATATATAATTAGATATTTATTTAATATATAATGTAATATAATTATGTATTTAATTTAATTATAATATATTTGATCAAAATTACAATATATTTTTAATCATTATTTAATTACTCACCTTGGTGGACTTCATGTCCCCTTCCAGGGACAATGCCCATCCCTGACGAAACTGTTTCACAGCAGTGCTTCAGAGGCAGGCGATTTGACAAAGGTCGTGTCAGAGCCATTTTGGTGATTTATCAGCTTCTGAAAACAGAACACGGGACTCAAGACGACAAGATCCACCATTATCTCACAGAAGTTAATGCAGATACAAATCATAATGGTGGAAGCGAGCATCGAAAAGGGCTTTACTAGAAGAAAAGGACAATCTACGGCTTCCGGTGGAGTCATATCAGAGAAGCTAACAATCACATTGAGCACCTGCATCGGACGCTAAGCGACCATCGCAGAGCGCCGTGGCACAAACCAACATAAACTTGGACCACCGTTAGCAAATACCGCGGCTAACAGCCCTCAAAGACTTCAAAATGACTGAAGTGAGGCCACTAGGAACTGGCCCGACCAAAATTATGCAGAAATAACTTAAATGGGGGTGCGCGACCCTAGCGGCATATTAAAAAAAAAAACATTTTGGTAAAACCTAAGGGCAAGTTATGTATAATACTAGCACCGTGGTATGCCATTATGGCACCAACAACATTAGAACATGAACTGTAATTATTTCAGCAGTCAACGTTTCGTCACGGAACCAGACTTCTCTCCTTTGTAGTCCCAGATCTCATTCCTAGCATGGGCGATCTTAGTGCATGCAACATATTCAAGTGCGAATGCACGCAGGAGTTTCCTGTCGATCTCGACTGGCATGGAAATTGTCACTGGCATGGAAATACAATTGGCATGGAAATTGACCTCATTAATGCTCTTTAGGCCCACAGGCCCGCAAAGCGCAGGCAAAAGAGCTAAAAAATGACACCTGAAAATGGATTAAAGTCTGTAACACCGGACTGTAGGCACCGCTTTCAGGCTCTTTTTAACCCCGCTTGTGAACCTGCGGGCTTACAAGAGACACGCTAAGTATGAATGACGTCATTAGTGCCAGAGCGTCACTAGACCATACGATATGTCGCTGGTATACATTGGCTTTGTAAACACAGCCTTGCAACGAACTCAGCACACAAGCAAACGATGTCTCCCGAAGCCAAAGTGCGCTTCCAAAATAGCTACTGCATTAAACACCATATGCGAGAAATCAAAGACATATCACGACGTTTTGTTGAATTGGCGTGATAAGTGCCTCAAATTTATAGAGTATTTTTCCAAACTGGGTGACAAACTCTCACAGCGTTCCATGAAAGAACATTTTGGCCATCCGGAGCATTGCAAACATAATTCACATGATGAAAGTGGAGAGCAGCTTAAAAGTATTACTTTCATTGTGGTGAGCACGGAAGCCAATGGCATTCCTTTAGTCAGAGCGACTGCTTCTAAACGAAATTCTGAGCAGTTTAGATTTCAAGAAAACTGGCATTTCGCATCATATGGGACGCATTTGATTTAACTTTAGGTGAGAAATGCAGAACAGATGACATACTTCCCTTTAAGACAAACCTGTTTAAAGCATACAGGCACCATAACAAAACAAAAAAATGTTATGATACCCGGGACAATCGCTCCACCGCATACCAAGCGTGTTTGTAAGATTGGACACCGCTCGAGAAGATCTAGTGCACAGCGGTGTAGCCAAAGGGATCAGGCTCATGCCCCTCCTGCCCCACCCCCGCCAGGTTCTAGCGCAGTTTTTCACTACGACACTACCGAATATCATTTCGGAATCTGATGATCGGGGACATTATTTGGGCTTTAAATCCTATAGACACTACCATGGAGCAGCGACACATGGAGCCCAACGGCAATTTCGTAGCCACACTATCGGAGACTCCAGTGAATATACTCGGCACGCAGCTAACACAAATGTTTAAGGCGCCATGACAGACCAACATCGATAGCTCATTGATACGGTAAGTACCGTGCCAATCAGGGTTCGTAGGACCTGTTAGTCTGGTCGCAGTGCGTCTATTGAATTGTGGTTCGTTGTACCACTTAACAGGATTTCACTTAAAACACTACTCAACCCCTTATAACGCGATGGCCGCTTCTCAAATGAACCAGTCTCATGCGGCTGAGCAAAAGATGTTGGATTGTCGCGCCTACGCACACAACTACCATACGACTGTTTCAGTCCGAGTGTTGATGACCGATGCCGAGTTGATCAGGCCCAGCCATGGATCGCTGGCCCTGCTCTTTTGACGCCTGAGCTGCTGCTATGACCTGTGACCCCAGCTGCTATGACCTGTGACACAGCTGCTGCGACCGGCTAACCAGCCGCAGGAGCCGGCGGCCCCGCCGTTGGGACCCGCTGGGACGGAGCCCTTGCTGACCGCCACGCCACGGCTCGGACTCGCAGCTCCGATACCGTCGCTGCCCTGACCCCCTGCCCCGTCGCCACCCAGACCTGCCGGCGCCGCCCCCACACGGCCCGGGCCGCGGCTCTCGAGCCGCCCGGACCCGTGAGCGTGACTTCCACTCGGCCTACACCGCGGCTTTAAAGTCGGCCTGACCGTTGCTGCGATGCCGCCCAGACTCGCAGCGCCGATCGGTCCGATGTCGACCCAAGGCTCCGACCTGCTCGGACCGCGGCTCCGATGCCGTTCAGACCTGCGGCACCGATGCCATCGGACCGCAGCTCCCATGTCATGGGGACCGCGGCTCCCATGCTGCACGGACCGCGGCCCCTGGGGACCGCAGCTCCCATGTCATGGGGACCGCGGCACCGGCGCCGCACCAACCGCCGCCCCTGGGGATCGCGGTTCCGATGCCGCTCGGACCACGGCCCCGATGCCACGGGGACCGCTACTCGGACGCCGCCTGGACCGCAGCTCCCATGTCATGGGGACCGCGGTTTCGATGCCGCTCGGACCACGGCCCCGATGCCACGGGGACCGCCCGCTACTCGGACGCCGCCTGGACCGCAGCTCCCATGTCATGGGGACCGCGGTTCCGATGCCGCTCGGACCACGGCTCCGATGCCACGGGGACCGCTTCTCGGATGCCGCCTGGGCCGCAGCTCCGTTGTCATGGGAACCGCAGCTCCGATACCGCACGGTGTCGCGACACCGATGCCGTTCGGGCCGCAGCCCTGATGTCACCCGAACAGCAGCCGTTATGCCAACCAGACGGGAGCTCCGATGCCGCGGCTCCGTCGCCACTTAGACCTATCGCGCTGGAGGCTCTACGCTACCGTGCCGCGCGCCAGTGACTTCGATCTGATGTGAAGTGGTTTTCTTCGTAAACAGGTTCCCGTTTGAGGGCCAAATACTTCACCTGAAGTGTTGCAGAACGTAGCCCATCGCTGTCATGTTAGGTTTTGTATTGCGCTTTATGATCGTGGTAAAAGTTTTACAAATTTACCTATTTGGCTGCAGCACACAAGCCACTAAGTGATTAAGTTTGTGTCAAGCTGTTTTTGGACTGGTTGATTAGGGCTGGCTGATAGGACTGAATGAGCCCAAAATACTACTTTCAAAACTGGGGCATAGCACTGTTTCAATCACAGTCTCATCATCATTGTTCACAGTGCAACAATATTAATGGAAATTAAGCCTTTTAACCAAATTTCTGGTCTGGGACCCTGGTAAGGGGTGCCAAAGTATCCAAATATCCTGTTTCCATGAATGCAATGCTAAGAAATGATTGTTGAGGTAAGAGCTAATTTTTAGAGGTGATGCTACATGAGTGAATTTGAGGACTTAACTGTTCAGAATGTGCAGTAAGTGTATTCTATGAGGAATGCAAATATTCCATTCACTCCATTAAATGCATCACCATTTTGTTTTCATTTAAATGTTGGTAGGTTAATGCAGTTGTAATCTACAAGCGGCAATGGACTGTATGTGACAGATAGTGGGCAATCATTATGTTGCAATTGGATACTCTGCACCACATGTACACTTTGCTATTTTATTTGTTTTGTTTACTATGTAAATCAACATCGATGTACTGGGTACTATACCAAGTCTCTTTGGAGGATCTGTAGTCAATTCGCATTACATTGGCATTGTGAATCAGGCCGAAACTTGATCCAAAAAGACACAGCTCAGTTGCAAATCCTGTCAGCCCTCCTAATCACAACCAATTTCAACACATTGTTTCGATCTTACACCATTCTTCATGCCACAGTCTATCACGGCAGCTGGGATGCTTCAGACATATATAAACAGCTGTCCTCTAAAAGACGACACATGTCAGTGGGTACCGCCTAGAATATCTTGGCTGCGTACCTGCCTTCTCCCGCCTCAGACTACATGGGTACGTTACCTCGTCAGAACGCTCCCGCCCCACCAAAGATCCAACGCACAATGACCCAGGGTGCCCTTTTTACGGAGAAGTTACGAAGTGATTTGCTTACAACCGACGCCAGCCGCTGACGTATGACGTCACTGGGAGCCACCCTTTCAGCGGTCCACCATTGGCATGAATGGGTGACCTGGCTCTCAGCTCTCAAACATCCTGTTACATGTATATACATATATAAATATGTATATATATATATATGGCTATATATATGCACATATATCTTGTATTTGTGCTCCCAATAAACGCACTGTCGGGCTGCATGACATACTTTAATTTAATGCTTGGGAAGCAATAATGCATTGGAAGGGCGAGTGTGTCGTGTCATTTTGAGTCGTAGACAGGCAGTGGCTGGTTCTCACATTGCTTAATACGGCGTGGTGCGACGACGATGGGGCTGACTGGGATGACTCTCAAAACACGGTAGATCAGGATATAACTCCGTAGTGCGATAGTGCGAAACAAATCTACAAGCCTCGAGGCAGGCCAGGACACCTACGAACCACGCAACAGGCAATACACGTCTTCCAGCGGCACAACAGACTGGAGCACTTTCAGCAGTACAGCAGGCTTGCGTACTTCTCAGAGCTGCATGGCAGATATGGCTGCAGGGGACGTTCCCAACTTCCCCTGCATGCGACATTGTGCTGTCTACCACCGTCCGGCTGCCGCTGGGCGTCCGCAAAACACTATCAATGGCTGTATTGCAAGGGATGTCATGCACAGGTCCTTATTTCTGCCACAAATTCGGACAAAAAACCTTAAGAGTTTCAGGATAGACTAAATGGGCTGATTTGGAATGTATTTTTGTTTTGTCTACTTTCGGCGAAAACGCCATGATGAATGATGAGTGTGATGCCTTGTTAATATCGCATAAATACTATGCAAGTTTATTTGCGATGTTGAATATAAGGACTCTTACAAATATTCATTGTTGGTACCTGAGTGTGCTACTTTCAAATCTGGTGTATATGAACTGCGCATGCCCTTCAAAAACATAGACCTGGTCTGCTTCTAACCTCACTTTGAAAAGCTTTCTGCCTTTAATAGCTACACATCAAAACCATTAAAATTCCCACACATGTCGTGGTGCATGGGCGGACAGCATAAGAACGCCAAGTGAGGGTTTTTCCCACGTAACAATCTGTAACGTGTTACATCTTTTTGTAAAATTTGCATCGATTCGTGGCGCAGTCCACTACACAGAAAGTTTGTGCGAATAGACCCGTGGGAATTGCATTGGAAGTGAAGTCACTGAGTTATTGGCATGATTCCTGAGAGCACATTACCGAATCCGGCCGGACGTGGAGCGTGAATTTGTTAAATTACGGCAGCCATCTAAATAAAAAATATCATCGCGTGTTGAGGATGCGGCCGTGAGAATTCCATAGTACTGTGGTATGACAATCGACTGGCACCCTAACATCCTGCTAAGCCGGAAGTATCTGTTTGTTTGACCACGTCACAGCGCATTACCGAATGCGGCCAGCCTTCTGGAGAGCAGATTTGCAAGACTACGTCAGCGCTACGTCAGTGTGTGTGTGTGTGTGTGTGTGTGTGTGTGTGGGTGTGTGTGTGTGTGTGTGTGTGTCTGTGTGTGTGTGTGTGTGTGTGTGTGTGTGTGTGTGTGTGTGTGTGTGTGTGTGTGTATGTGTGTGTGCGTGTGTGTGTGCGTGTGTGTGTGTGTGTGTGTGTGTGTGTGTGTGTGTGTGTGTGTGTGTGTGTGTGCGTGTGTGTGCGTGTGTGTGTGTGTGTGCGTGTGTGTGTGTGCGTGTTGTGGTCATCGTCCGAGAGCACCTGTTTATTGGTATGAGCCCTTGACAGCGGATTACCAAATGTGAGTGGCCGGCCGGCATGGGGTTTTCTCTACAGCAGAAGCCTTTCCAAAATTTTTGTAATCATGCACGTGTGGTGCACCCGTGTGCACTTGATAGTACTGTGGGAGGGCTTTCAACTGGTTCAACTTTCAACTTTCATCTACTCGGCCGACGGCACCTACTTTATTGGAATAAACATCTGACTATGACTGACTCTTTGTTGGCAGCACAATGGGAGGGCTACCAACGCACACCGTAACATCTTGCTCTGCCCCGAAAGTACCTATTTTATTGTTATGACTTCCTGACAGGGCATTACCGATTGCGGCAAGCAGCCCAGGGATGGCTTTGTTCGGCAGAAGTGCACCTTTTACGGGGAGCATACCACCTATTTTGTATGGGTCACTCGTTGTTAGGTCAGACACCTCCGATTTGATCGATTATGCCAGTTTTCTCGAAATCCGTCTGAACAGATGACCATTTTGTGTTGAGTTGAGCTATGTTTGAGTTTGAGCATGATTTTTAGCCGCCCTTGCGAGAAAAATATCACTGGATTCCCTGCTCAACACTATGCAGGTAATACATTTGATTTGCTTTGGTTTTTCAATGTGTGTTTTGAAATGTTTGCCCCTGGCTAATTTCTAAAAACGCTCGTGTAGTGAATGCTAAACAAGTTTGGAGCATTAACGTTGTGCAAACAGGAGGCTATCTTTTACGGACGGCTAATCTTTTAACTAATGCGGCGTCAATAGTTGTGATCTCACACAAAACATGTAGCCGTTTGCAGCCGATAATCCTGTGAGAGGACCGTTGACTGACACCGTAACATGTTGCGTGACCGACCGCACCTATGCTTCTGGTACGGCCGCTTGACAGCGCATGGTTGGGCGCCAGGGCACGGTGGAGGATGGTAGCGAAATACGGCTGCTATTTAAATGTAATGACTATTGTGCAGATAGGATGCACCCGTGTGCAACTTGACAGTACAGTGAGAGGACTATCAGCAGCAAACATCGTACAGTAGTACTCACCCGAGGACACATACCTTATGAGAATGACTTCCTGAAAGCGCATCGCTGAAGGTATGCGTTCTGACAGATCTTTGAGGTGAAAAGACAGCAGCCATTAAACAGTATTAATAGCCGCACGCGGAGGCTGTGACCATGTGCATTTGTTAGCACTCTGCGAGGGCTATCGACCAGCACACGACGGTACCGTATGCTCGGTAAACTCCCCTCGCTTTTTTGGTGTAGGCGCCTGACAGCGCATTACTCGACATGGCAGCCGGGGCTTGATGAGAAAAATGCAGGAAATATTTAAGTTTATTGGTAATCATTTGCAGAATTTGCAATCGTGTTAGCTCGATGGCACTGTGGGAAGTCCTTTAACTCGCACAATAAAATCGTGTTCAACCGAAAGCGATTTGGTATGATTGCATTATTGAATCGTTCGGCGACTACGGTGTGGATTTGGTACGCTGCTGAAGCCTTTTTGAATATTTATATTCGTGTGTGAACGGTGCGACCGTGCACATCTGTAGAAATGTAGGGTGGTTGCCAACCACAATGTGACGTCGTGCACGGCCGAAGGTGCCTTCTTCACGGGTGTGACCGTCTGGCAAGGCTTACCGAGCGCGTGTGGCAGGCCGGGGCGTGGTTGCGAACCTCCGGCGGACGTGCCGTCTGTCGGCAGTGACGCGGCATGCCCACCGGCCGGATTCAGTACTGCGATGTCAGGGGTCATCACGCAAAATAGGTGCCTTCGGCTGAAGAGCATGTGCGACTGCCAGTTGGTAGTCGGCTTTTCTCAAAGGTAACAAATGTACGCCTTTGCAGCCTCTGCGCATATGTATTTGCTTAAGTCTACCGTAATTTAGCAAACACCATGTCCGAACACCATGTCACCGCGCCAGTTGAAAGCCCTCCCATAGCGCTGACAGAGGCGTGCGGTCACTCCGTATCCACGCGATTGTAATTTTTTTTTAAGTGGCTGCCGTGGGTTCGCCACCATACGCCACCTGTCTACCAGAACTCTGCAATCTGATGAAAGTGATCACACCAATAAGATAGGTGCCGTTTACCGAGAATCATGTTACGCTGCATTTTGTTGGCCGACTCATGATGGTAGCAACTGCACACGTTTAGAATCTCTGCGCACGAGTACAAATAATGTTAAAAGGCTGCCGTTTTTCTGCAAATACATGCTCCAACCGGCCGCCAGCATGTGGTAATGCGCTGCTGCAAGGATCGGACTGATAATTAGGTGTTTTCACACGGCCATGGTGTTACGGTGCAGTTAGAAAGCCCTTGCACAGTAGAACGCGGCTGCACAGTTGGGAGATTTTATATATCTTTAAAAGGCTACCGTAATTTAGCAAGGTCATGCTTTGGTTTGGCGTCTGCACTTAGTAATGTGCTCTGAGGACATACCAATAAGATCAGGAATGTTGATAAGCAACTTTCTTGGGGAGCCAGCCGATAGTCGTCCTACAGTGTCATCAAATGCAGGTGGGCACACCGTCCGCTTCTTAGGGAACCAGCCGATAACCGTTCCACAGTGTCATCAAATGCAGGTGGGCACACCGTCCACTTCTTAGGGAACCAGCTGATAGCCGTCCCACAGTGTCATCAAATGCAGGTGGGCACACCGTCCGCTTCTTGCGGAACCAGCTGATAGCCGTCCCACAGTGTCATCAAATGCAGGTGGGCACACCGTCCGCTTCTTAGGGAACCAGCCGATAGCCGTCCCACAGTGTCATCAAATGCAGGTGGGCACACCGTCCGCTTCTTGCGGAACCAGCTGATAGCCGTCCCACAATGTCATCAAATGCAGGTGGGCACACCGTCCACTTCTTAGGGAACCAGCCGATAGCCGTCCCACAGTGTCATCAAATGCAGGTGGGCACACCGTCCGCCTCTTGCGGAACCAGCTGATAGCCGTCCCACAGTGTCATCAAATGCAGGTGGGCACACCGTCCGCTTCTTAGGGAACCAGCCGATAGCCGAAGGAACAAGGAACACAATTTCTCTGTTAAATAAATATGCTCCTCAATACGTCATTGCTTAATTGCGTCATCATAGCTAGCACAACATTGATTGAGAGCTGACTGACCGCCGTTATATCTGGAAATCGTGCTCACAAACGTCAAATGTGAACGACTTGAGAATTATAATTTTTTTGGCCTTGATC